TCTATTACAATGGGAGATTCACCCTCCTCCTCGTACTTGCCTTCCCCCCGTCCCCCCCCAAATTTTCCCCTTTCTGCCCCTCCCAGGTTTTTTGCCCCTTCTTCACCCCCCAGGTTTCTGCCTCTTTTGTCCCCCCCCCAATTCATCCCAGTTCCCTTTCACTTTTCCCCCCCCCCTTACTTTGGTACATCCCTTACTGTCCAATCTTTTCTCACCCTCCCCCCTCCTATCCCATTATGGTCTCCCCTACATTTTGAATTCAGAAACACTTGAAGCCCTTTCAAATATATTGCAGAGACTAAACCTTTAATGGGACACTGATTCACTTCCTGTTTTCTCTTCCCTCTCCTCTCTTCACAACCCCATTCTTCGCAACGCTCCGTTCCTTCGCTACTTGAAATCTTCCAATGCCCCCCACGTTTACTTTTCTAACCCCTTAGCCTAGGTGCCTTTACCTACAGATTCCTGATATTTTCTTATCGCCAATCATGGCCTATTTACAGGGAATATCCGCGGCCTCAGGGGGAACGGGGGGACTTCAGATGTTGCTTTCCCGGTTTTCCCCTGTTGGGGGTTTCTTTCAAGAACCCAAAATTTCCTCGGGTGTTTTCCAACCTTTCTCAGGGTATAATTTTTTGTATTCTTCGGATCCTTTTCAGATGGGACCTTTAATAAAGTGCCCTTCTTCTACGCAATGATATTCCCTACGGGCAACTATTTGTCCTACTCGCTGCATTTCACTGCAGCCCGACCACTGAATAAGTGGTTTACAATATTTCTTTTTATCTCCTTTTCCTTCTCGACATTTTCTATCCCCGACTTTTTCCTTTCTTTTTTCATCCCTTTCCACCACCACTTCTGTTACTTGGTATTTTTAATGCCCCCCCATTTCCTCTGGGGGGTCTCATTTTTGATCACGTGGCATTCATTGGAGGCTTTTTCCCCCTTCACCCCCTCCTTTTTTAAATGGGTATCCCACCCATTTTGATCCCCGTACTTTTCTCTCTTGCATCGATTGTCATTGCTCTTCCTCCACTGCACTAATTCACCTGGGCTGTTCTCCAACTTGCATGACGCGATCATTTTCCCCATCATTCTTATTCCCTTTTCCCATTCCCACCTTTCCCTAGCCCTCGCTGGCAATTTATCGGGAAATTGGGATCCCTTTTCTCACACCCCACTGCTTTTAGTGAGGTTCCTTCTTTATCCTCCATTTATGGCTTCCCCCATCTTCTCGACGCTTTCTACCGCAGCTTTCATTCATCCCAAAACCCAGGCAGGCATTCTCAGAAGTGGTGCCCTTTGGTGGTCTCCTGCTTGTGCTATGCAGTACGTTTGAAACGGCGCATGGGGGAGGTCCCGGGACAATAAACCGCTGAGAGACTTGTTGATTTTAAGCAAAAAACGTGCGATCGCTCCCATGTCATCCGTGAAGCAAACGCACTTGTTGGCGAGCTATGTTTCCACCTCACCTCTGCTTCTTTATGGTGCAGTCGGAAAAAAGTGAGGAAATTGAGTGGTAAATACTCTCCTGACCCCCTCTGTTTAGGGTCATGGTGTTATATAGCAAACCCCTCGAGTTGCCATTGAACTTGGCACAATCTGGTCCGTATTTCCCGAGGGGTCCCTCTATGCCCCCCGTTTTTTTCCTCAAAGTCTGCCCGGAGATTAGTACCCTTGGGCTTTTCTTCTCTCAGAGAAGAAAGTATAATGTGCCTTTTCCATTCAAGAATGGGGGCAATGTCTCAGCTTTCCGACATCGGCAGTGGGCTGAGACATTCTATTCGTATGTACAAAAAATTTATATCGGTCAGCCCCTTTTAGTCCCTTACACCTCTTCAACTTTTTTGGGCACAGGGGTTCTTCCCGCTGTGGAAAATTTCCATTTTCTCCCCTTTTCCCAAACCGGGGACTACAGGACATGATGCCTCCCACTATCGCCCCATCGCTCTTATAGTGCAGTTTGAAAGTGATGGAACGCCCCCGTAAATCGGGCGTTTAAGTGTATTTAAAGATCACAACAGTCTCTCCGTGTCAAAATTTGGTTTCGTAAGGGACGTTCACATAGACCCCTTTCACGCTTGGATACATATGTTCGAATGCCTTTGCGGGAAAAATCACTCAGTTATTTCCTATTTTTTGACCTTGAGAAGGCATATACACAACTTGGGGGTATAATTTTGGGGCCCCGGCCTTTCCCTTTGGGCCCCGAGGCAATCTACCACCCTTTCCCTTAAAAACTTTTTAACTGACAGGGGCATTTCCGTGTGAGTAATAATGTTCTTTCCCGGATTCGTCCAAGCTGAAGGTGTCCCCAGGGGTGTGTTTAAGCACAACACTTTTTCTCCCTTTCTATAAATATTTTCCTCTGTTCTTCCCCCCAATATTTGGTATCCCTATGTTGAGCTTCGCTATTGCTTGTGCAGGCGCGCTGTCCCTTATTGCAGTTTCTCTCCAGCATGCGGGGCGACCCTGTTTCCACTTGGGGCCCCCACACATGGGTTTAAAATTTTTAATACCAAAAAACCCCCAAAATTTCTTTCACTAGACGCTTGTTATCCCGATCATCCTTTGATCTCTATGGTCCCCTATCCCGAACGTAACAGTCAGGTTTTTAGGCCTTTTCTTTGACCGTCGGGTTTTCCTGGAAACCTCACTTACCTCTCTGAAGGGAACTTGTCCAGCCGCTAAACCTTCAAAAACCCCTTTTATCTTTCCTGGGGGGCTGATCGTCGAATCTGCTTCGCCTACATTCAGCCCTCGTTTTTTCGAAACTCGATTATGGTGACCCGATTTATTCCGCGGCCCCTTTCCCGCCCCTTCTCTAGCCTTAACTCAAACCACACCCAAAGGTTACGTTTGTCCTTGGGGCTTTTTGCCTTCCCCCGTTGAGAGGCTTACAAAGCAAATGTTCCCTCCTTGTCTGATCGCCGTGATGCCCATTGCCTTGTACTAGACCTCCACGATTACACAATCCTTCCCTTTTAGAAAGGTCACCGTATTAGTAGACATTCTTTATTCGTTCGCCGCCCCCCGTTTTCTCCCTCCCCTTTTTTCCTTTGCCCCACATTCATTTGTCTTCCCTTCGTTTCCACCTTTTATGTTCATGAGCATTCATTTTCCCACCCCCCTGGGAATTCCGCTGTTCGGGGTTTTTTTCCCTTTCGAAAGCTCAAAGCCTACGGTGGGTTCCCCCTCTTTTTTTGATCACTTCCCCCATTCTCTGCCACGCTGTTACACAATGGCTCTAGTCTTCAAGGGGTCGGATTCGCAGAGTGTTTTTCCGGTGCGTGTGGGGGGCATTTATATCTTCAGCTGCATTTTTACTGCTGAAATTATGCCATTCTTGCGCACTTATTTCGTACGCATCTAGCCTGTGATCATTTGTAGTAGTCTCAACTCCCTTAGTGCTCTACAGGCTATACGAAAATTTGATAATTCATCCCTAGTTCTCCGTATCCAACTTTTGGGTACGCCGTATCTTACCAAACTAAAGATATTTTTTTTGTTGGGGGCCCTGGGCATGTCGACGTACAGGGCAATGAACAGGCAGAAATGCTGCGCGGTCGCAGTACTGACCACCAATTTCCTTTTGAGGTTTCCATTTCTGGACTATTTTGCGCAATAGCTACCCATTCGCACCCCTTGGCAAAACGTTGGTCAACTCTGCTCGGGGAACAAAATTCATTCTATTTAAACCCGGCAAGGTTCTGGCCGTCTTTTGTCACAATGCCGAGGTTTGGGGGACCACTCTCTCCCCCCCTTCGATTGGCCACACCCCTTTCTCATGGGGATCTCATGGAGAGGCACCCTGTTCCTCTCTGTGGCATGTCAATTTCCGATCGATTAGCCACATTCTGTTAGACGCCCTCTCTATCAACGACACGCAGAATTTACCTCAACTGTTTCGTTCTACTACCTCTCTTTACCTTCCCCTTTTTGCTGATGGACCCTCCTTTAATCCGACTCTCTCATTGACTTCTTGAAACGACTGTTTATCCACAAATCTGATACTTTTCGCACTCCCCTCGCCCTTTCTAGTTTTAGTCTCTTGCTGCCCTTTACCCTTTCACCATCCACTACCCCCCTGTTATCCGTAACCTTTTCTCTTCCATCTCCCTTTTGCCACCTGATGCCCTCGCTTCCTTCCCGCCCCGCATGCTGTATAGTCCTTGTGTTAGCACTTCTTTTTGATTTTAATAATAAAAAACAAAATAAGAACTGGCAACTCTTTCCAATTAAAAAAAAGTGCCGAGAGAATACAATTAAAATAAGTCTTCGAGAACATAGTGGTAGATTGTTGGAATGTAATCAATTTGAGCAACGGAATTAAATTGGATACGTTTTGATGGAGAAATGCTCTAGGAAGGTACTGGTTATTAAACAGAGTTGATCACAAGTGGTACAATCTGCCAAGTACGATCACTGAAGCTAAAACACAAGGTAACTTTCAAAATAGGTTAGGCAAATTCAGCCGAGAAATGGATTTCATTAGAAACTTCCTAGTGTGAAGACATACTCTGTGAGTTCTTTGTAAAACCGACCAGAGATGGAGCAACTCTGCCAGCAGCTTAAGGAGGAACTGTGGGTGACTAGGCTCGAGAATGTAACGATTCACTGAGGAAAACAAAGAGGATTCGTAAGTATTCCTCCTGTTGTGAATCCTCGGGTCATAAAAAAAAACTCTAGCGTTGCTGAGCAGCATGGAACGAAGCCCAGGATCTATAGGACGAATAAAGAGATAAAAAAGATTAAGAGCCAGCAGACTGCTATGGAAACTTGGAACCCATTCTAAGTACTATCTGAAGAATGAGAGTTGATTACTGGGAATGAAGAACAATGAAGAACACAAAGGTTGGTATAAAACATTGTGCTTGTTGTGGACAGTCAGAACAGGTACATGGACAGGGCCTTCTGCTTGACAGATAGAAGTAGGAGACAGAGGGTTTGCTTTCCTGGGGCTGGGATGAAGGATATGAATTAACTGGCTTGAAAACAGCATGAATGGTAATGGAATTAATCCTATTATCTGCCTCAGTAATGTAGACAATGATGTAGATAAGCATAAAAGTGAGAATTTAGAAGTCATAGGTAAGCAATAGATATAATTAAAAAGAAAGGGCACTCTGTTATATGTGGTATTTGACTATAATGAATATTAGAAATTAATGGCTGTCCAGAACAACTGGTGTAAACTGTTGGCTGGACCAATATTGTAAGGATAACTCGGTACTATTCCTTGACAACTGGGAACACTTCTACCCCAGAAATGACATGTATGCCAGGGATGGGGTTCACTTATCCTGCGCAGGTGTGGGTATTCTCGCTAGTTCAGTTAATGGTGTTGTTAGGACTTTAATCAAGGATTAGTTATATGTATGGGTTTTAGGAAGGGAAAATAATAGTTATGGAAATGTTGATTTATGATTTGATATCATGAATCATAAGAATAAGTCATCACATTACATTAGGTAATGATTAAATTAATTGTGAAAAGCAAAGATGAATAGGAAAAAGAAGCAGAAGAAAAAAAAATAATTTTAACGTATTTTAAACTAACAGTCAAAACTCTAGGAATAAAATTAATGAGTTATGTTAGATTGCATGTGAAGGAAACTTTGATGTTATTGCAATAATGGAAACATGATATAATTTAAAATGTCGGTACATGATTGCCGAGTGCCATATATAAGTGTTTATGTTCTATGTAGATAGACATTACAGGCAGGGGGTGGAATAACGTTATATATACCAGAAAATATAATTGTTGCATAAAAACAGGTATAAAAATAAATTAGTCACAGAACCTGTGACTAATTTTAGGTATAATTTACCGATCTCGAGGCTAATAAAGCGAATGAAGGAAACTTCATGACGAAATTGTTAGGGCTTCCAGACATTATATTGTAGTAGTACTAGGAGGAGATTTTAACTTTAGTCTGACTACACTTCAGTGACGGGTAATCTGGAGTCCAGTGACTTCCTGGAAGTAGTTCAGGACTGCTCTCTGAAACAGTGTGTAACAGAGCCTACAAGAGGTAATAACTTGCTCGACCTAGTCAGGTCAAATAAAGATACCCTCAGAAATAATTTGGAGATCACTGAAGAACTTGATTCAGGTGATAATGAATTTATTACCTCTAATACTACCTCTGAGTATGAGAATAAGAATAAAACAGTAAAAGTTCCCTATTTTCGTTCTGCTGATTATAATGGACTGGGGAAATCCAGCTAATAATTTTATTGACGATGATCATACGATAAGGGAATTTGTTTTCTTAATGTACAATGTGCTCAACGTGTATATATATTCCCCATAAAGAAATTAAGTCAGATAAGAATGATCCCAAAAGGATGAACAGTGTCAATTGGGAGAGAAAAGTGGAATTTATGGCACATCGAAATAGGAGAAGTTAATCTTACTGACCAATACTTTCAATTTAAAAGAGAAGTAAATAAGGGAATTAGAAAGACTACATGCGACTATGAAATTAAGGTTTCTAATGATTCAAAGACTATTTCAAAAGGGTTGTTTCAAGTGTATAGGACGTAGGTCAGGGAAAAAGTAGAGCCACTAAGAATTGGGGATGGACAGCTGACTGATAATGAACAGGAAATATATTCTTTATTTAATTCTTATATCTTTTCAGTCTTTACACATAAAGATACAGTGTCCCAGAAATTAACACCCATTCAGTTCCTGAGGAAAATAAATTAAGTAATATAACCATCACAAGGGACATGGTTATCAAACAGGTGGACAAAATGAAACAAAATAAGTCCCTATGTCCTTATGATTATTTTCAGGGGTTATTGAAGAATGCAAGTTGACATTTAGTCAACCATTAACGAGCTTGTTTAATTGTTAATTGTCGAAATATCATTTATTTCTTATTGAGTAAAGACTGCCAAGAAATAATCATTAAACAGAGAACATCCCCAATGTTCAGTGGTCCAACTTTTCTCCTTGGAAGAACCCTTTTGTTTTATTAGCAACTTTAATTTCAAAGTCGCATTCAGCCTTCCTAATCCCTTTTTTAACCTCTCTCTTGAAATGAAGTATTGGTCAATAAGGTCAACCTCTGATGTGCCTATAAATTCCTCTTTTCTCTTAATTGGTACTTTAGTCTCCTATTCATCCATTTTCGATCGTTCTTAATTGACCTAATTATTCTCTGGGGAATATATATGCTCTGAGCACATTATTAAGAAAATAGTCATAAATGCACATTCTTTCGTTAACGTATGATCATCGTCAATAAAATCATTAGCTAGATTTAGCTAGAATTCTTAAGTCTATTACAATCAGCTGAAAGAAAATCGGGGACTTTTACCGTATTATCCTTAGTCTCGTACTCCCAGGTAATATAAGTAATGGATATATAATCACTTGCGTTAAGCTCTTCAGTGATCTCCAGATTATTTACGAGGGTTTCTTTATCTGACAAGACTAGGTCGAGCAAATTATTACCTCTTGTAGGCTCTTTTACACACTGAGAAAGGAGTCCTGAACTACTTCCAGGAAGTCACTGGATTCCAGATGACCAATCAAAGAACTGTGTGTCATTTTGACTAAAGTTAAAATCTCCTACTATTACTACGTTTTCGTGTCTAGAAGCCCTAACAATCTTGTCCCATAGAAGTCTCCCTCTACCGCTTTCTAAACCAGATCAGTAAATCACTTAAAATTAGTTTATCTTGACTTTCTAGAAATTCTACTCAAACAGGTTCTGTGACTAATCCATTTATTTTTATACCTGTTTTTATGCAACAATAAATATTTTCCTATACATGCTACTGTACCTCTTTCCCGTTTTATCTATCCACATGGAACAACATAAACCCTTGAATACGAAACTCGGCAATCATGTACTGACTTTTTAAATTATACCATGTTTCTGTTATTGCAATAATATCAAAATTTCCTGCACTTGCTATCAAACATAATTCAGTAATTTTATTCCAGACACTTAGACTTTTAATATAATATAATTTAAGATGTTTCTTCTGCTCCTTATTCATATTCACCTTTGCTTTACCACAGTTTCTGTTATCATTACCCAGTGTTACCCCTCAAGGAAGGTTCCTTGATGTTGGTGAGGGGCTCTTGATTTAGGGAATTGGATCTGTGCTCCAGTTCCCCGAATTAAGCCTGAATGCCTTCCACATCCCCCCCCAGGCGCTGTATAATCCTCCGGGTTTAGTGCTTCCCCTTGATTATAATAATAATACCCAGTGTTACTTGATGACTGTTATTCTTAAGATTCAAGATATTAAAGACTTAATCAGCATTTCGGCAATCATTATTTTCCCTTCCTCAGCCCATACAACCTACTGGTCCTAGTTTTAAACCCTTCTGAGGGCAAGCCCCCATAAAATGCGAATTTCGAAATGTATTTCCTATGAGTGGATAGAGTATCTCAATGTAAGGGAAATGAGCCCATATAAATGCATTTGTGAAAGTTAGTTTTCGATCACTTGTTAATATTCGAGGACCGATTGTACTACGTCCTGCCCGGTAAAGGGCGTAAAATTGTTAATGTTGAAAAGTTGCAATTGTTAATAAAACACCAAATAACTGTTTTTCTAATTTATTATACAAATAGACAATATCAAAAACATAAATGGAAATCGTTTCCAAACATTTTATAAGTATAAAAAATATAGAAATGAACAAAAAAACATGGACACATTGCATAGGGATAAAACTTTCAAGTCCCATATTATTGAATTTTCCTGAGAGAGAACAATCATTCTAGATCACTAAGTGCTACAATGAAAGGCTATGAAGCAATTTCTTCCCCTGTAGCCCGGTCATGGACCGGGCCGCGGGGGCGTTGATCCCCGGAATAACCTCAAGGTAACCTCCAGGTAGATTTACTTTGCCTATGATAGGAAAATGAGAATGTGACAGGATTTTTCTTTGTGCTCCAATGCTTGCACGTAAATATCTTGGCACTGAGTGGGCTGATTTTGGATTTTTGGATGACCTATCTTCCTCATCACCACTGTCAAGCAATTCCAGGTCATCTGGCTCTGGATCTGTGTCACTTTCCTCCAAAATGCAGACATATTTGGACTTCTCTTTGGAGGACTGAGCATAAAATAATTTCTCATTGATCTGGAAAGACAATAAAAACGTTCTGTACACACCCAGACCACAACAGAATTCATATATGCATTACGATTTTTTTAGAAATATTTATTTACTGAAATTTAAAATGGGGCCTAAAGAGGCATGAACGAGTTTGTTTAATTAGAGGATTTGAATCTGTGAGGTAAGACGTACAGTGATGTGCTATCAATAAGGGATGAGGTTAGTGAGCAGTGATGTCTGTTCACTCTTGTAATAGCTGCTAGGATGCAAATAATCGTGAAATATATTTAATCTCTGAATCGTCCTGCCTTGGTGAATATCTATTATTGGTGTTTAACAATTTTTATAACAATATCCCACTTTTTCACTGGTCATAAAATAGGCAAAAACCTTTTGAAATGTTTCATGGGAGTGAAGTTCTAAATAATTTTTGTAATACTGGTTAGAGATAAAAATTATTAATTAGAAAGAGGGCACTTGAGTATATTTTACGAACAGCAACAGTTGTTAAATGTCAAAGATATACTTTAAAAAATGTAACATGAAACATCTGTTTCCTCAGCAGTTTTATGTTCAAACTGAACATGCAGATGAAGTCATGATTAGCAGCTGCCCATCTGTCAGTCTGTATATTTCTTACAGAATAGTTTATTCACAAGATTTTTCCATACATATTTACAGTTTGGAACTGTTGGATTTTACGGAATTGTCATGGGGATTCCTAAAGAAATAAATTTACAATGTTTGAATTATACTTTTTATATATTTTTACCAAAAAGCCAGTCGGATTATGTGTTTACCTCATATTTCTTCTTTGTCTGTCTTCCTTCATATCACTTTATGACTAGGTAAGGTTTATTCTCCTTGTTTCGGTCATGAAGCCTCCCTAGAGCCTGCTGCTCCACTCTAGGATAATAATAATAATAATAATAATAATAATAATAATAATAATCTTTATTTACTACAAGTACATGTACATGGTATACAGTCCTAGCTGACAACAATGACATACTACTACATAGAAAGCCACTTGTTATGCTGAGCATCTCGGGCAAATTAGGTCAGTGTCCCAGGATGCGACCCACACCAGTCGACTAACACCCAGGTACCCATTTTACTGATGGGGAACATAGACAACAGGTGGAAAGAAACACGCCCAGTGTTTCTACTCTGGCTGGGAATCGAACCCAGGCCCTCGCCGTGTGAAGCGAGAGCGTTAACCACCAGGCCACCAGAGACACCTCATATCAACTCATATCAACGGGTACTAACCTTTATTACTATGCAAGAGGCAGTGTGATAGTGATAAACCGTGGCAAGTCCAAGACCTCGGTGCTGGAGTTAGCCGACCTTACACGCAAACCCCATTGTGTGGTTCCCAGTGGCTTGGTGGCAAAAGCTCTCGCTTCACACGGTGAGGGTCCAGGTTCGATTCCCGGACGAAGGGTGAAAACATTGGACGTGTTTCCTTACACCGGTTGTCTATGTTCATACATCAGTAAAATGGGTATCTGGGTGTTACTCGACTTGTGTGGGTCGCACCCGGGGACAAACTGACCTAATTTGCCAAATTTTTGCATAACAAGGGGTTTTCCTTGTAATAGTTGCATTATTTTGCTAGGACTTATCCCTTGTACATGTGCCTTAGAAATAAAGATTATTTATTAAACCCAAATGCACACTTCATTCATTTGGTTATTTATATGCAAGGTAGTAGCTGTGGTACGAGGTATACCTTGTAGGAGTAAAGGGACTATGATGGGTCTGTAGTGAGTTTGCGGTTTTTTAGGGGTAACCCGCAAACCCAAAGGGGGATACCCCCTGTTAGTTACTTGTGTTAGAGTGTCAGCCCCCAGCCGCGGCTTGGCTTCCCAGGGTGCCTTTTGGAGGGAAAGGGATAGGGAAGTATAACTCCCCCCTTAAATAACGACTATCTTAATTTAACCCTAAATATATGTAGTAATGTACAGTGAAGGCACAGTGACTGGGTTACGTTCTAGAAATTTTAAATGTATTACAATTTTATATCTCGTTTGGCTTTTCTCCCTTAACCCTCCCC